CGGCCGGTAAATTTCTGAGATCTTAGGGGGCCGAAACGCCCCCCCCCCCTGCGGATTGTAGGGTCCGCCGATAGCCCCACGGGGCGCGGGTTAAGACTCGGATCTGTGATCCCTACGTATCTCTCGATAAATTACAGAACTGGATCTATAATCCCGTCGGATCTGAGATCAGGATCCGTGGGATCAGATCCCAGATCCATTTTCTCGGATCCATGCACATATCTGCTTAGTAGTTTTAGTGCCTTCGTAACATGTTACGACGCCGTCAGTGGTAGTTGATACCTACTATGGGGGCGTTCCACGACAAATCGACAAGTGCCCTGCACCCTCATATTTTATTTTTTGCTTAAAATTGGTCTAATGGGTTGTGATGGGCAGGGAAGCCAGCTGTGGCAAGGATTTTTTTTTTTTCTTCGAACAACGGTTTCCGAGATATAGCCTCGGGCAATTCCTGGATGTCGCGCTGCAGCCCTATGTTTGGCGGCCTATAACTAAAAAACTATTGTTTTTTTACGATAAAAACTTTATATGGTTCAACTCACAATCAACCCACAAACATTTTCGCTATCTCGGATTTTCAATTTTTGAAAATTTTGATCACGTGACCTTTTGACCTATTTTTCGAAGAGTGACCTTGATATTTTCCCCACTGAAAGTTGCAATTATGTTTGATGACGATTAAAGCCTTATCAATTGTCATTCATATGCGAAAATAAAAAGTGGATATCGCCCTGCGTTGACCTCAGGTCGGGTCATTTTTATGACCTGTCCATTATTACGAGCGGGAGCGACAGCGAGATCTCGAGAATAAAGCAAGATAGCGACAAGCGGTAAACGGTGCAGGGTACAAATGGATAAGGTCTATAATTTTTATTTAGGTCACGTGACCTAAGGTCAACTTTTGACCTTTCGACCTTTCGAGGTCAACATACATATGTTTCGATGCGGATCGACGAGAGGATCACGATGGTGCTATTAGTTTGTTCCTAGCTGGGATACCTGGAAAGTTATTCGAGAAAAACTTCATATATATAGTGCCGCAATTTTGACTTCCTTTTTGCTCCTGTGACGTCATCTTTGACCTGACCTGAAAACGACCTCAATAAAAATTATAGACCTTATCCGTGTGTACCCTGCACCGTTTACCGCTTGTCGCTACTTTGCTTTATTCTCGAGATCTCGCTGTCGCTCCCGCTCGTCACGTGACCTAAGGTCAACTTTTGACCTTTCGACCTTTCGAGGTCAACATACATATATTTCGATGCGGATCGACGAGAGAATCACGATGGTGCTATTAGTTTGTTCCTAGCTGGGATACCTTGAAAGTTATTCTAGAAAAATTGTCACATTGTTCGTTATCAATACGGGCGAATTATGTTTATTTTGACCTATTTGCGAGTTAGCTCATTTATTGTTATCTGCACTAAATGCATTGAAAGGAATGGATTGATGATAATAAACTACCGGTTGAACCCCGGACAAGGGAAAACTTCATATATATGTAGTGCCGCAATTTTGACTTCCTTTTTGCTCCTGTGACGTCATCTTTGATCTGACCTGAAAATGACCTCAGTAAAAATTATAGACCTTATCCATTTGTACCCTGCACCGTTTACTGCTTGTCGCTATCTTGCTTTATTCTCGAGATCTCGCTGTCGCTCCCGCTCGGAATAATGGACAGGTCATAAAAATGACCTGGCCTGAGGTCAACGCAGGGCGATATCCACTTTTTTATTTTCGCATATGAATGACAATTAACCCTCGCCCGTAAACGGCGATCTGCCACCTTCGTCCATGCAGGGGGGGGGGGTTGGTGCGACCCCCCCCCTTGGCGTTTGAATACGGAGCGTCGTAGAGCTTAGCGGAAAAGACCAACGGATTGCTCTCGCCGAGATCTCGCGATTGGTGGTATATTTTTTGGTCCTAGGTCAACATTTGACCTACTTTTGACCGGTCAAAGGTCAAATTTTCGGAAAAATATACTTTTTTCAACTTTCCGCGGCGATTGCGGCAAAACGGTGGGAGATATCGACTTGAAACCTTCACTATCGTGTTCCTTGATCAATTCTCTATCGTTTGGTATGTATTTCGTTTCCCTAGCTCTAAAAATGGCGCGTTGGGAGCGCCGGAAGTCGGCAAGGTCACAGTCGGCGGCAGAAATTCGAAAAATCAAAATTTAAATTTTTGAAATCTGATTGTATTTTTGGATTTGGAAGGTCCATTTGCTCCCTATAGAAGCTAATATTGCTGCATATTCCCATTGAGGTGACAAGAATTAGCAAAATAGTGGTTCGGGCGCTTTTCAAAAATAGTACCGGACGCTGTTCCTCTTGTGACGTCATAGCTCCGTGACCTGACCTGACCCGGTCAAGTTTCTTATACCATATGATAGCCAATACTTGCCCCAACATGCATGGGAAGTTTCATCACGATCCATCAACCGATGTCCGTACCACCGGCAGGAAACCTCGGGCGTTGGCACTCAGTTTGTGAAAATCCGGCCGGAGGCTGTTCCCTTTGTGACGTCATAACTCCGTGACCTGACATGACCCGGTCAAATTTTTTTATCAAAAGATGCGCAAGGTTTGCCCCATAAGTTACCCAAAATTTGGCGGCGCTGCGCGCCGCCGTTTTTGCACTATTTCCGAAAAACCTCAGGGGGGGGTTGCACCAACCCCCCCTACATGGGCGAGGGTTAATAAGGCTTTAATCGTCATCAAACAAAATTGCAACTTTCAGTGGGGAAAATATCAAGGTCACTCTTCGAAAAATAGGTCAAAAGGTCACGTGATCAAAATTTTTCAAAAATTGAAGATCCGAGATGGCAAAAATGTTTGTTGGCTGATTGTGAGTTGAACCATACCAGTATAACGCCTTTTGGGGCGACTAACGGAGCGAGCGAGAGGATGGGCCTTGCACGTGCGAACTTGCGAGGGGGTACCTCCAACTGACTTGTGCAAGGCACCCTACTAACCGGTCTCTAGCGATGTGCCAAATTTGAGCACAATCGGCCCAGCCGTTCTCGAGATCTGGAAGCGGCACCTTGCACGTGCGCACGTGCAAAATGGGTCCCGACTGACTTTTGCACGGCACCCTACTAACCGGTCCCTAACTGTGTACCAAATTTGAGAGCAATCGTTCGAGCCGTTCTCGAGATCTGAAAACGACCCCTGCACGTGCGCACGTGCAGCAGCACCCCAACTCTGGCACATGGATATGCAGTGCCTAGTGGGTGCCTACCTACATGCCAAATTTCAGCGCAATCGGCCAAGTAGTTACCGAGATATTGCAACAATTACAAAAGTGACACCTCTTCGTTTTGCACGTGGCACGTGCATAAGGGGTCACCCACATGCATCGGGAATAGTCCAATACTTGGTAGAAGGAATGAAGCTACACTACAAAAATTACCGCATGTAAATCGGTCAAGTGGTTCTGAGATATAAGCCTCGCAAAAGCGTCCGCACGGCCGGCCGGCCGGCCGGCCGCTCATACTCAGAAATTTCCGTTAATCTAAGGAAAGACTACGCTCGCTTGGCTCGCTCCGTAATAAAGTTTTTTTTTTCGTAGAAAACCAATAGTTTCTGAGTTATAGGCCGCCAAACATAGGGCTGCAGCGCGACCTGCTGGAATTGCCCGAGGCTATATCTCGGAAACCGTTGTTCGAAGAAAAAAATCCTTGCTACAGCTGGCTTCCCCGCCCATCACAACTCGTTACACCAGTTTTCAACGAAAAATAAAATATGAGGGTGCAAATTTAATTTTTATTTGTCGATTTATCGTGGAACGCCCCTATGGATGGATAGCCGGCAGGACGCCTCATGGTTGACCTGACCTGGACTGACCCCAGCTAGCCTTAAGTCAGGTGAAAGTTCAGGCCGCCAAAGGTCAAATTTTGCCAATGTCAACATTTTTTCTTCAAAAAAAGTGGCGTACAACTCGGAAACCAATAGAGCTACCCAGCCGATAACTCAAGAACCAATAGACGCAGCAAAACGCACGAGGAGGCAACCGAAAGAACGCGACGAGACACTTCCGATGAGTACCTGAAAGTTGAATTTCAAGGCCACAGGTCGGGTCAAGGTCAGGTCAAACACATGAAATTGGGCTTTCAGTAGCATGGGTCCAAAACACCTCTGGTGACCTGACCTTTGACCTGACCGAAAAAGTGACGCAAGTAATTTCGCGATTATTCCTGACGCTTTTTCGAACGTTGCTTTCCCCGTATCGCTACATGGCCCCGGAGCCGGAGGTATTGGCAGTCCAATGACGTATACGGCATGTCTGTATGTCTATTCTGTGATTTTATACCCATGATTTTTTAAACATGTGTCGTTTTTTGTTGAAATCTCAAATCATGACGTCACTAAAACCTCGATATTTCAAAATATTTTGAACTGATTTTTGGAAACTTTGTCACAATAAACATCTATCAATTCCCTACATGTAGTATGTCGGTACCTACCTGCACAAAATTTGGCACAAAAAACATCGTGCCTATGCTAAAATTCTGCAACAGCAATATTCCAAGTGTTCGTGCTTACAAACGGGCCAATTGTCTATATTGACTCTCAGTTGCTCCCGGGTCATGCGCAGCGCCTCGCCGACTGAGCGTAGCCAGGCGACAAGCCAGCCCGGCACCGCAAGAACTGCGCTGCCTCCCCCCCCCCCCCCCATCCCTCCTCCCGACCCCGTCCCCCGACCGCCGCGGCATTCCTCAGGCCACAATAGTGACTCCCCTCCCTCAGCTGACCCGTCCTCAGGTGCGGTGTAGGTACACTGGACAAATACTTCTGCCGGGGCTAACGGGGGTCCATGTTTGAACAAGGGATTAAGGGAAGCCTTCAAACATCTCAGACGGAGTTTTCGCCGAAACTACCAGCTAGCGCCATCCACCGGTGAACGGCGGTACTAAACTTCATTCGCTAGTTCCCGAAACGACACACCATGGAGAGTATTTCATCCCTGTGCTGACCGTTCACCTGCTTGTTCACCCGCAGGAGGAGATAATTTTCCCGACGATGGCGATGAACGATAAAAAGGAATGGCTGTACGTGGCCAATGTGGACTCAATGACCCAAGGCATCCGCGTGGAAAAGTGCCTGTAAGTACCTCACCAGAGCATCCGCGTGGAAAAGTGTCTGTAAGTGCCGACAAACTGACGGATTACGGGAGCTACTCAATACTGAAGGCGGCAAAAGGGCCGTTAGACGTGGGGCAGTCGTATTTTTCGGTTGCATCTCATTACTGTTTCTTTCATATATTGAATGTTGAATAGAGTCTCGACCAATATAAGTTCTAGCCTTTGATATATCACGATTGGCACATAAGGCATGACAGAAAATTTTGCTACTAGTGAAATATCTCCCTGACCCTACCATTTGTTTTGTGAATGAGTCAGTATCATCCCCATGTGAATTCACCTGACCCGGCGACCTCGCTGCCCCGACAGGGACGAGGGCAGGCCGTGTAAGATAGGGGAGCTGTTCACAGTCTGCAAACAGAAGTACATCTATCGGAAAATGCTGGCCATGGACGCTAACCAGAAGCTGGAGGCGGACAACTTCCGCATCCCCAGCACCTGCGCCTGCTTCGTCAAGTGAGTCCGTGACTCGAGTCAGGTGTCACAGTACCATCGTGATCCGAGTCAGGTGTCCTATAGTACAACCGTGTGACCCGAGTCAGGTATCCCAGCAGTCAGCGCTGCTTCGTCAAGTGAGTCTGTGACCCGAGTCAGGTGTCGTAGTACCACCGTGACTCGAGTCAGGTGTCCTAGTACCACCGTGACCCGAGTCAGGTGTCCTATAGTACAACCGTGTGACCCGAGTCAGGTACCTATCCCAGCAGTCAGCGCTGCTTCGTCAAGTGAGTCTGTGACCCGAGTCAGGTGTCGTAGTACCACCGTGACTCGAGTCAGGTGTCCTAGTACCACCGTGACTCCAGCCAGGTGCCCTAGTACCACCGTAACTCCAGTCAGGTATCCCAGTAGTCAGCGCTGCTTCGTCAAGTGAGTCCGTGACTCGCCAGTCAGGTGTCCCAGTACCACCGTGACTCGAGTCAGGTGTCCTAGTACCACCGTGACCCGATTCAGGTGTCCTAGTACCACCGTGACCCGATTCAGGTGTCCTAGTACCACCGTGACCCGAGTCATGTGTCCTAGTACCACCGTGACCCGATTCAGGTGTCCTAGTACCACCGTGACCCGATTCAGGTGTCCTAGTACCACCGTGACCCGAGTCATGTGTCCTAGTACCACCGTGACCCGATTCAGGTGTCCTAGTACCACCGTGACCCGATTCAGGTGTCCTAGTACCACCGTGACCCGATTCAGGTGTCCCAGTACCATCGTGACTCAAGTCAGATATCAAAGTTCCATCGTATGACCCGAGTCAGGTATCCCAGCAGTCAGCGCTGCTTCGTCAAGTGAGTCTGTGACCCGAGTCAGGTACCTCAGCAACTGTGTGACCCGAGTCAGGTACCCCTGAACCCGTGTGACCCGAGTGAAGTATCCCAGTTCCACTGTGTGACCCGAGTCAGGTCAGCTAGCCATCTAAGGGAGGCAGATGGGTTTGTTGTGTCTGTTTTAGATAAGGAGTCAAGGGTGTGGAGTGAAGGAGGAGTTTTGTGAGGATATCGCACTTGCCCAACTGGTGCGATATCGCACGACCTTCAGTGGAGGCACACATCTAATACTGGGTAGGAGCACACATCTGGTGGGCACATGACACTTGACAGCCGGTTAGGGGCTTCCATCCATCGCTTGGAGCATCACTTGTTGGCGTACCACATGCGAGTTATTTGTGGCCTAGCCCTACAAACAACTAGTAAGCCGCCGCCACACTCAGGCCTGCTTATCACATTCCCGTCGCTACCAGTCCCTCATGTGCATCTGGTATCTATTTCAGGAAGCTGACGACGCGTTTTAACGCCGGCGGCAACAAGTCGTCGCGCCGGGATAAGCGCCGCTCCCGCTCCCGGTCCCGTCGCCAGACGGCGGACAGCGGGTTCGCCTTCTCCGGCGGAGAGACCGACGGTGAGAGAAACTCCCGGGATGGCCGGGGGGGGGGGGCTGACCCGAGCGACGGTTATAATTCGCGGCTTTGGGCTAATTGGGAAGCTTTTATTTGAATTTGGAGTACTCCGTCGAGTATTCAATTTCATACTGCGAATTCCTAGAATTCCTAGAATACTAGGGTTTGGTGCTACCTTGACTGCATTTTATGCAGCACTGGGAACTGTTATTACGAAGAGCTGGCACGTAATGCCATTGAAGCAGTCTTGTTCAATGGGTTCCTGATTCACGCAATCCGTTCAGAATCCATTTGTGTGAGGAGATCACCCCCCACAACCCGTTCAGTGCGCCATGCCACGTCTCTAGCCCCGTCCCGTCCCGTCCGGCAGGTCTGAGCGGCTCGCCGCTGGACAACTCGCTGTCTGGCGGCGCGCCGGCGCAGGGCACCGCCCAGCAGAGCATCGAGACGGAGGAGACGCTCAGCCCCTCCGACACCATCGGCAGGCAGAAGGTCCGCTTCGCCGGAGAGATTGTCGTCGAGTCCAACCCCATCATCGTCCAGAAAAAGCCGCCCAAGTCGGCCGGCCGGCGGAACTGAGCGCGGCGCCACCTGTGGACGGCGGCCACAAGCTGCAGTTCCAAAACCCGCCGTCGTGGCGCTGCTGTCGGCGCGGGGAATATGGCGGGCGTGGCGGTGATTTGAAATGTGGCTGGATCTGACACGGGATCCGAGAGATCAACAACGACTGAGTGCTGCCGTGCGTTGCGGATGGTACTCGTGTGTTCACCGATACTCGGATATATCTGAAGAGCTTGCACCGAGCTTTCGAGGGAACACCAGGTTCTAAAAATCCCGTTCTTTTATGGCATCTGAAGAGGTCTCCGGTATGATGGGCTGTCGAAGGGCAAGTTTCCAAACGAGAATTACCATACGCGTTTTATTTTAGGACTAGTGTTTATCTTTGAAGATGTGTTCCGTTGAATAGTTTCGAGCTGCGTGAGATCAGAGTGCTGTAAATTACTCTTATTCAGAATGTGCCGTTATGGCATGTATCATTAACGCACTGTACGTCTACGCGCCCAGGCGCGGTTGGCACGAACAGTAGACGTACTTTTTGTCTATCTACCGCATTGTTTACATCAGATCCATTCCACAGCGACAGCGTAGCTTATTCCGTGGAAAGGATTTTATTCAGATAGCTTTACAATGGGCACGGGCAATTTACTCTATGATAGGACGAACGCGGAGGGCGATGTGAAGTACGGCTTATGACGACCTGCTAGGGGACGCTTCCATAATAGCAAGCGTAGAAACTGTGCTTGATAGCCTGTGTGAGAGGTTCCCGACGTTCCCAGGTCACTGTCGCGGGCCCGAAGACAATAATCCGCTGTGAAGTGTTATTCAGAAAATGGTCATTTGTGAGTTACAGTGGCCCACGTTTTACATCGATACCCTACGACGAACTTTTTCAGACATTAGTTACAATAATTTTATAATAAAATGTATTAAAAAAGGATGTGTTTTCATATCCAGATACAAATATCTCTTTTATGAAGGAATTTACCAAGAACTGAAGTCGATGGTAAAAAAGAAAAGAAAAACATCGTCCTATCGACTGTGCGATATTCAACTATTCGACAGTTCCCAGCAAGAACATAAGTGTCAACTTTTTCGAAATCGAGATTTCTATACCACTCGGCTGAGTCGAATGATATAAAAATCTCAGTTTCGAAAAAAAAATTGACACTTAGGAAACTTGCTGGGAACTGCCGCATTGTTATTCACACGGCAGTCAAATAGAAACAGCACCCATGTCACCAGACGGCATTGGGCTCGTGCATGTGTCGACACATTCTACCCAGCCCTGTCCTTGAGGATCTGTAACTATAGATTGATCAACACACATCAGTCCATTATCAACACACTATATTTAGTGAGGCATCTGATGGTCACGTGATGAACAAATGGGTAATTGGGATGAGTGAGCGCCACGTCTCATTTACAAATGTACAACAGTGCGGCGATGATGTGTATAAGGCCAATGAGCTCCACCTCGGGAGCCGGCACGGGAACGGGTCCACGGCGCAGCCCCGTACTCCAGTCGGGGAGTCGACACAAACTATCGGGAGCCGACACAAACAGTCGGGAGTCGACACAAACAGTCGGGGAGCCGACCAAATTACTGTCGGGAGCCGGCACGGGAACGGGTCCACGGCGCAGCCCCGCTACTCCAGTCGGGGAGCCGACACAAACAGTCGGGAGTCGACACGGGAATGGGTCCACGGCGCAGCCCCGTACTCCAGTCGGGGAGCCGACACAAACTGTCGGGAGCGGACACAAACAGTCGGGAGTCGACACAAACAGTCGGGGAGGCGACACAAGCTGTCGGGGAGTCGACACAAACAGTCGGGAAGGCGACACAAAGACACAAACTGTCGGGAGTCGACACGGGAACTGGTCCACGGCGCAGCCCGTTACTCCAGTCGGGGAGTCGACACAATCTGCATTCTATCCGACAGTCGCGCCTGAACTCTCATCTGGCTCTGGCTTTACCATCACATACACGCCTGACGATCCATCGCCCCAGTACACTCCCAGCATACGTCCGCAAACACGCTGATACAAAGCCATCAATATTGATGACTTTGGTTGAAGGTGGAGCCGTTTCGCGCCATCACCCTCCTGGCTCCTACATTACATCCATCCGTGATTCACGGCACACGCTTCACTCCCGACTCCTATAACACTCTCACCCCAAGCCCCTTCCCCAATCCTCTCCTCCCGTCACATCGTCTCTACGCAGTTGCATCACCAACTTCTCCCCGTGTTCCCGGCCTATCCTTCTCCCCTCTACCTCACACTTTATTCCCCCCCCCCCCCCCACACACACACACCCTATCCTTCTCCATCGTCTCCCTACTCTTCTCCCCCGTCCCTCACATCATCGCCCCCTGTCCTTCTCGTCACACCATTTCTCCGCAGCTGTGAATGACCACCTTCTCGCCGGTTTTGCCCGACTTGGATCCCAGTCTCTCCACCTTTTTCACCACGTCCGCGCCTCCCGTTACCTTCCCGAACACCACGTGTTTGCCGTTCAGCCAGTCGGTGCGGTCGGTCGTGATGAAGAACTGCGAGCCGTTGGTACCGGGCCCGGAATTGGCCATCGACAGGCAGTACGGCTCGTGCGAGAGGGTGAAGTTTTCGTCGGCGAACTTGCCGCCGTATATGGACTTGCCACCAGTGCCGTTATTGGCCGTAAAGTCGCCGCCCTGTTAACGAGGGAGAGAAGGGTGAGAGATGGACAGAGTGGCAGGAGGACAGCGAGTTACACAGAGAGTGTCGGGTGACCAATATGAGCGTGACGGAATCCATGAATTACTAACACCATCACATTGTAACGCAACTGCAAACAGATCACGCAATTTGAGCACCCTAAGACTATCATGGTCTATCACAAACACTTTGGTCAATCTATCTCTGTTTGTCTCACAAACAGAATAAAAACAATTCATCCCAAACGCGTAGATCAGTTACAACTCAACACTCCATGCGCCAAATCAAACAGCGTAGTGGGGCCCAAACACTAGCATTTCGAGACGTTTATCTGTTCACAAGCAGTCCTACCCACCTGCAGCACCAAGACATGGTGGAACACAAACACATCTAACCACAACTGCAAACACCTTCATCTGACAGTCTCTCTGAACCAAAAACACCGCCGTCCGGCAGTCTCCCGCACTCACAAACATTCCACTCCCTACCTGAAGCATAAGCTCGGTAAAAGCCCGTGGATTATGAACATACCTAACGGACACACCTCCACCCGGCATTGTGCCCCACAATCACCCACCTGCAGCATGAAGCCGGGTATGACTCTGTGGAAGGTGCAGCCCTTGTAGCCGAACCCCTTCTCGTGTGTGCACAGACAGCGGAAGTTCTCGGCCGTCTTGGGTACCACGTCTGAGCGCAGCGTGATGATGATGCGGCCCAGGGCGGTGCTGCCAGCCTTCACGTCCAGATAAACCTGCAGAGACACGTCAGAGGGGGGTAACTCGCCAGCCCAGGGCGGTGCTGCCCGCCTTGACGTCCAGGTACACCTGCAGAGACACGTCAGAGGGGGGGGGGGGGTAACTCGCCAGTCGCCAGCCCAGGGCGGTGCTGCCAGCCTTGACGTCCAGGTACACCTGCAGAGACACGTCAGAGGGGGGTAACTCGTCAGCCCAGGGCGGTGCTGCCAGCCTTGACGTCCAGGTACACCTGCAGAGACACGTCAGAGGGGGGTAACTCGTCAGCCCAGGGCGGTGCTGCCAGCCTTCACGTCCAGGTACACCTGTAGGGGGCGGGACACGTCAGAGGGTTGGTGACTGGTAACTATCCCACGCCCACCCAGAGTCGTGCGTCAAGGTACATATGTACACCCGAGAAGACAGAGAAACACCATAACAGTGGAAACGTGAGTATTGCAGAATTATGTCCAACTTTTCGCGCATTAGAGAATGTCCGACACGATACAGACAAAGTTGTAAGAAAACACACAATCAAACGTTATTACATGAAAAATACAATATGGCTTCAAGGAGAAACTCTACCTTGTGTTTGCCAGTGGAGAAAGTCAAGCTGAAAGTAAATACTCCGCGTCCCTTCCCCTCTACCCCTACTCCCGGCGCGCCACCCCTGACTGACCTGCGGCAGAGGAGTGCCCTCGCGGGCGGCGCGACTACCCCTACTCCCCGCGCGCCACCCCCGACTGACCTGGGGCAGAGTACCCTCGCGGGCGGCGCGACCACCCCTGACTGACCTGCGGCAGAGTGCCCTCGCGGGCGGCGCGACTACCCCTACTCCCGGCGCGCCCTTCCTGACTGACCTGCGGTAGCGTGCCCTCGCGGGCGGCGCGCGGCGCGATCTTGGAGACCACCCGGCTCTCCTCCTTGTCTCCCTGGGTCTCCTTCTCCAACGTCTCTCCGGCGTGCTGCTGCAGCCAGTTGTCGTCGGCCCAGACGGGCCGCGAGGAGCCTTCGCGGACCCGCAGCGGACGGGCCAGGTTCACACGGATCTGGACACAGCGGGAGTCCAGTCAGTACCACCCGCAGCGGACCCGCAGCGGGCGGGCCAGGTTCACACGGATCTGGACACAGGGAGACACAGTCAGTACCACACCGGGAGGGACCCGCAGCGGACGGGCGGTCAGTACCACACCGCGAGGGGAGGAGCCCTCCAGGTTCACTCCAACAGGCCAGCTTCACTCGGGTCTGGGTGCAGCACAGCAGCGGGTGCTCTAAACGTGTGCAGGTTGGAGTCAGGACTGCATTATGGGTAATTGGCACACCGATAGGTATGATACGATACCACAATTTGACAAAGCACTTTCGGAAACGTACGAAATGCGTTGCACGTAACATTCTATAGTCCAAAACTATTAAAAAAAGAATATGAAAGTGATACCTGTATTATGCCACTTTAGCCATTTGATGCACCCAACTAGACTACCCAGCACTATTTGATGCACCCAACTGGCCTACCCGCTGCACTCGGACTGACACGCCACACATGTCGCTGCCTTCACGCCGGGTCAGAGAAGAACACCCGGTCCGCACAGCACCGTTCGTTTGTCCCCGTGTCGCCATGGCAACCGGCGCTCACCGTGCGTCCGAACAACTCCGACTCGTGCATGTTGTCGACGGAACTCCCCCTGTCCCCGTGTCGCCATGGCAACCGGCGCTCACCGTGCGTCCGAACAGCTCCGACTCGTGCATGTTGTCCACGGAACTCCCCCTGTCCCCGTGTCGCCATGGCAACCGGCGCTCACCGTGCGTCCGAACAGCTCCGACTCGTGCATGTTGTCCACGGAACTCCCCCTGTCCCCGTGTCGCCATGGCAACCGGCGCTCACCGTGCGTCCGAACAGCTCCGACTCGTGCATGTTGTCGACGGAACTCCCCCTGTCCCCGTGTCGCCATGGCAACCGGCGCTCACCGTGCGTCCGAACAGCTCCGACTCGTGCATGTTGTCGACGGAACTCCCCCTGTCCCCGTGTCGCCATAGCAACCGGCGCTCACCGTGCGTCCGAACAGCTCCGACTCGTGCATGTTGTCGACAGCGGCGGCGGCGTCCTCGTTTTGTTCGAACTCGACGAACGCGAAGCCGCGGTGCTTCTCCGTCTCATAGTCGAGCGGGATCTGGCGGGAAAAAGGCGCGGGAGTCAGGGGCGCCCGCACTTTACCATCGGGCGGGATCTGGCGCTAAATGAGAATCTGAGGTATCGACAAAAACTATAGTGTCCTAAAATCGAACGGAATATGGCGGGAGACGTCCGCGGGAGAGTCAACCATAGGAGGTTGGAGGAGCTATGGGAGCATACCCTGCCACCCAACTATGGTAGCATACCCAACCACCCAATCATGGCAACATACCCAGCTTCCCAATCATGGGAGCATACCCAGCCACCCAATCATGGGAGCATACACATTACACAGCCACCCAATCATGGGAGCATACCCAGCCACCCAATCATGGGAGCATACCCAGCCACCCAACCATGAGAGCATACCCAGCCACCCAACCATGGGAGCATACTCAGCCACCCAATCATGGGAACATACCCAGCCGGCAGCCACCCAATATCTCTCAATGTGGCGATTACTCTGCATTTGCAGGTAGCAAATAGTAAGTGTCAGCTACAGTGCAGGGACAATTACACCCTCAGATTCTACTAGCCAGAAGGCTATAGTATAAAACTTCCAAAACGAGCACATCGTACTATTTCTGACTAGGTACCTAGGACCTGGCCTGACCTGACTGGGAGCCTGCTGACCTGGATGTCCTGAATGTCTCCGAAGGGGATGAAGGCGCCCTGGAGCACCTCCTCCGTGACCTCGTCGGCCAGTCCGCCGACGTAGACGGTCCGCTTCTGCGCGCCCACCGACGTCATCACTACCAGCTGTCGCCGATCTGCGGACTGGGCAGCGTGGGGTTAGAAGGCATGGATATTGGACAGTTAAGGACAAACAGTTTTGCATGGGAAGATGGAATGGAATGGTCTGGTGTGGTCAGCCTTTACTTGCCACTATTTAACTTAAGGAAAAGGGCATTTTCAACTAGAAAAACAATAAACCAACATGCAGCAAGTGGTAATAGGTATATCATAAGCATCTTATAGGGATACCTATGGGCAAGGTCATGTCGACTTAAAGGAAATATACCACTTTTAACAAGGGGGTTTGAAATGAGATACCAGCTTTGTAGCTTCACCTGATACTACCACGAATAAGGGGCTTTAATGGGTCTATGGTCACCCAAGGCAAAGATATCCTATTTCTTGTTCCAAAAAGAGTGCCTTGTGAAGGAATGTGGTGACTTGTAGAAAAATGCCAAGAGTGCAGGCACCTGTAGCAGATGCCAAAGCTCAGTCATGAGCCAGTCAGCATTCAGTTTGAACTAGGTCACACTGGTACAGGGACCCGCAGTTGCTTCTGTACACACTAGTATTTCAGCGTATTCTTTGCCTGTGACACCGTTGGAGGCGAATTGGGAAATTATTGTGTGCTTATTAAAACCACCATCTGAAGGGCTTTAAAATGATGTGCTGCTCTCCTAATTCAGTGAACTTTTAATGGCTATATCAGCAAAACATTGTTTTCAGCGCTTTTTCCTGCCCCATTCCTTCTGAAACCTGGAACCGCTTATTCCATTTACTCCTGCCATCTGACGATGGTCGTGCTGATTACTAGTTCCGGCGCTAGTTACTGCTCCAGTTTTGCACCCGGCACAAACTCAGGCGGCACCGGGCCGTGGCTCGACCAGGGGAGGGTCGGACCGAGCCGACTGCCTGGGGCGCGGTTAGATCGGACGCCCTGCTGGGGAAGGGGACGGGAGTGAGGGGGAGGGGAGGAGGTGGTCACGTGGTCCGTCCAAGCTCGCAGACGGCCTGTCCTGCGCCCAGCCATGTTCCGTGATCCAAAATGGCACGAGAGCTGTGGAATGCCTGGAGGAGACGCTTCGAAAGCGAACTTCAGCAGCACTAATTTACCATATTCTGTGGAGATAAATGAATATTATCTTAATGCAGAAAAAAATGTATGCCCAAGCTGTATAGGCTGTATCTTTTTAAAAGTTGTAAATAGGATTATTCTTAGGGACAATTATAGGTTTCGTATACACAGTGAATTGTGTTACATTGAGCCGTTTCGCTGTTACGGTTACTAACTGAAGAGTTATCCTTTTTTCTCACAGGGAATGACAATACAATAACAATACGAATAAAACCAGACGTTTCGCACAAAAAAGTGCCTCCGTCAGTGGCAAGAAATAAGTAATTAGGCATACATGTTTTCTTTCGCTAAAATCGATGAAGCAGTTATCTTTATTTTTTAAATCTTTTTAGCAGTCTTTTAAGCGCATCATGGAAGCTTATAAACATTTGTGTATTTTATCGGCAACCCGGCTGGCCAGACCGAGACGGTGCCGCATATAGTTCTCATCGATGTTAAACCTATACACTTATTTTTCTCCAATATTGTCATTGTCCGTGAGAAAAACATACTCTTATGGACTGGTCTCAGTTCATGTAGAAATTGTTGCATATTCATCAACACAGATAAAATGAATATTAGCCCTCACCACACATATAAGTAGATGTAAGTAGACCGCGCCCCCTGTTTTTCACCAATAAATCGCGGCAAAGCGAAGGATTGCGACGATTCTTTGGTGCCCTGGAGTTAATCAATTTTACAACTTTCCAGAAAAATTAAATAGCCCTTATTATTTGTCCATCTTGTCTGAGAATTTTAAATCTTTGAACCAAATTACCTTTAACCCTCGCCCGTAAACGGTGTTTTGCCACCTTCGCCCATGCAGGGGGGGGGGGTTGGTGCGACCCCCCCCCCCTGGCGTTTGAAAATGGAGCTTCGTAGAGCTTAGCGGAAAAGACCAACGGATTGCTCTCAACGAGATCTCGCGATTGGTGGTATATTTTTTGGTCCTAGGTCAACATTTGACCTACTTATGACCGGTCAAAGGTCAAATTTTCGGAAAAATCTAACTTTTTCAGATTTCCGCGCCGATTGCGGCAAAACGGTAAGAGGTATCGACTTGAAACTTTCACTATCGTGATTCTTGATCAATTCTCTATCGTTTGGTGTGTATTTCGATGTCATAACTCTAAAAATGATGCGTTGGGAGCATCCAGTAACCTAGGATCTCAGCATTGACCGGGACATAAAAATAATTGGCTTTCTCTCGTTAGCGATGACCAGGACCCTCAAATCATCGGATTTCTCTCGTCACGAGCAGCTCGCTCTTTTTTTATTTTTCAGCGAAGCTCTGGCTATTTTTATCAAGGGCCGAATGGCTGAGGGTTTCTACGCCCCTCCGCTACATGTAAGACGCTGAAAAGAAATGCCTAAGTGGGTGAGGGTTAAATATCGATTGGTTTTTAAGTGCCGAAGCCCGAAACACTTTAATTTACTTCGATAGCAGTTTTTAAGACCAACGAGCTCAAATACTATAACTTCTTGAACAATGTAAGCACCACATAAAATGAATCGTAAGAGAAGCGGCTCAAGATTAAGGAGCTATGAGACACTTAATAAAAAACGGCATAGATTAGAAACTGCACCTAACCTGCACTGAATTTTAAACCTTTTCGTTGCAGACTGGTAGATTAAATTTTAGGATTGATTTCAGCTGATGCTCAAATGGAGCTATTCATTCGTTCATTCATGCGACCATCCAATTCCATTCATAAAAGAAGCCAGTGACAAAATTGTTCATTTTAGATAAGTGTGAAATACAAACTCAATAAAAGTTTAATGATACGGCAAATTTGACAGCTTTTATAATGAACAGACAAAAAACTTTAACAAATCAAAGTTGAGAGCCCCAAATAGGGGAGAGTGAGGTAAGATGAGCCAAGGGGCAATTTTAGCCACCCCATGTTTCTCAGCTCCTATGGCGCTAATTGACTTGAGCTTCCATGTGCCGTTTGCTTACGATGTTCACGTCTTTCACGTCTTTCACGTGAGACGGCAACGTTCTCGCGCTCAGCCCCGGTAACATGTGGTATCACCCCTAATAACTAAGACATGTTTTGCCTTTAAAATGAGATGGTTGTTATCTGTGGTGCATGGTTATTTTCCTTAGCAGGTGTCAGCCATTAATCGAAAATGACCACGGGTGGGGTAAGATGAGCCATTTTCACCTGGGGTAAGATGAGCCGGATAAGCCATTGTTGTCTCCGCTGTCGAAAACCAAACTGAGCTGCGCTTGTTTCTGCTGAATAAAAATGGTAGGAAATTGTTTTTTCTTTGTTGATTACACAAGTTGTAAGTGATTTGCAGATTATCTGAAGGATAATATGATTTCTTCCTTGATAGAAAACTTGACGAGTTATTGGAAGGCTTTAAACAGTAACTTTTTGATGGAGGAAAAAACGTTGCCATAAGTATGTATGCCATGGAGTAAATAAAAGAGCCCACTCTTCGCCGCGCCCGGGAAAAGAAGAGGTTCGCTTTTTCTATCCATGCTCAACTTTCCCCACGACGTGTCTCAACTTACCCCGCCCATGGGGTAAGATGAGCAACGTGCAAGATGATTTTTGACGCAGCCTTTCAGTACAAAAATAAGCGGTATGAAACATTTCTGGCCACCATTACATGCGCAAATGACCAAAAGTCCGTCCAAAAGTCCGTCCAACCCGTAAACGCAGAAAAATGATCAGTAAGTTAGCCTGTAGCTTACGAAAAAAACGGCTCAACTTACCTCATTCTCCCCTACGTGACACAATTGAGGGCATTTTTTTTAGGCCATCACAGTATTTGTCAACAGTTGTTGTTTAGGGGACTGGGGAGGGTGGTTACTGGCTCATTAACCGCCCCCGCCCCCCCCCCCCCCAAAAAGGAAAGAAAACGAAACCGATCATCCGCGAAAAGAACTATTGAGCTCGAACCAAGGTGACGAATCGATTTATAGGTATGCAGGATGACTAACGATGCCACTTGTTGACTTCTTGTGTCAAATAAATTCCATCATCTGGATAGCACGTCAACTCTGTGGTATCACTATTTGACATTTTGCAACAAACGTATACTATTTGGCGCGACTAGCCTCATAAATGTTCTGAAACTAAAACCGTTTCTTCGCAATTAACTTGGACGACGTCATCCCAGCTTATGCACGACCAAAAAAAGATATCGCTTCAGGATCACTGGCCCGAATTCCAATGCTTAACCCGCGCACCGACGGGGGGGGGGCGGATATCCGCCCCCCCTGAGGTTTTTCGCGGATAGCGGGAAAACCGCGGCGCGTAGCGCCGCGAAATTTGGTATGACTAGTCTCTCATCAATTTTACACATGGTGTGCAAGTTTGAACCTCCTAACTTTTAAGGTCAGGTCACCAGGTCACTTTGAATGACCCAACCTCAAGTCACTTTTTTGCAACTTTGTCACCGTGCCAGAGCTACAGTAGATGTCGGAGGCCTTTGAAAGTCGCAGGATGTTATTAGGTCATTAGTACCTACAATTTGTATATCTCGGAATTTTGATGTCGGTGACCTAAGGTCAGGTCAATTTCGCGACCTCCCCATTATAAGTCAATGGGGAAAAATCAACTCCCTGTTTTTACCACTAAAACGGGTCGGAATGGCCCCATATACCATACATGACTTCACATACGATCAACCTTCACTACCTTGAGGTCTGTTTTGCTGTTGGGCAGCTGTAAGGTCATGTGACGTCATCAAAGGTCACCAAAGGTTTTTTGCCAATAACTCCTTACAGGAACAAGATACAGCCGCGCGGATGGTCTCATTGTGTTCAGCTCGTCAAGACGCATCGAATGATATACATGATGACCTCGAGGTCACGTGACCTGAGGTCAACCTTTGACCTTGACCTTTCGAGGTCAACATATATATCATTCGATGCGGATTGATGAGAGGATCACGATGATGCTCTTAGTTTGTTCCTATCTTGACTACTTCGAAAGTTATTCGAGAAAAACCCTCTCCATATCTAGCGCCGCCATTTTGACTTTTTCGACCCCTGTGACGTCATCTTTGACCTGACCTGAAAATGACCTTAGTAAAAATTGTAAACCTTGTCCGTGCGTATCCGATGCCGTTTACCGCTTGTCGCTATCTTGCTTCGTTCTCGAGATCTCAGGGGGGGGGGGCGGTCATCCGCCCCCCCCCCCCGTCGGTACTAAGTTGGCGCAGACCCCCGTCGGTGCGCGGGTTAAAGTTTACTCAAAGCCGGTGTGGCTGAGGCACTCTTCGCTACATCTCGTGACGGCCACCATTGTGTTGCATTTTTCGGTAAGCTATAAGTTAATAAGGAAAGGATTGGTGAGTGGGTTGAAAACAGCCCTCACCCTCCACCTTCTTCTGGAAACATAAGTAAACGAAAGATCTGGCGATGGTTTATCCACTCTCCTCTGCCGCCGCGCTGCAAGGCCTCGATTCGATCGGTATGTGGCTTCCTGAGCGGTCCTCCCCGGAGGCAAGGTGAAAGGTCATGGCCTGTATCATAAATTTATACGTTGCTGAATATGTTTTATAGTTCTTCCAAGGCCTTGGACACCGTTTTATTATATCGGATAAGCATTGCACTTTCTTGTCAATCAATACATCTAAAGAAAACTTGATCATAATCTTATACTGCGGCAATTGTAGTTCTGCTTACGGTTGCCTCTTTATGATACGGGCCACCATCACCTCCACTGCGCTGGAGCTCTGGCGTTCTACCCCTCCCCGCTACGGACCGGCCCTCGGGCTAGGTGTGTTAGTACTGAGCGCAAACCTGTAGTAGTCACGTGACTTTCATTCACGTAGCGGGAACGGAAGCTATAGGCGATACCAAGGACGGGCTCTGGGGAGGCAACCGGCGCGGAAAAATAGCACGATTGTAGTTTTGGAAGAATATCTGTTGCGGTAAGAGGAATTATACAAAACAAACGTCCTAGGAGCAAACATGTGTTATTCCTCCATACTTTGCGCTACATTTCATTTCTCCAATGGCCAGCACTTAGCAAATAATAGCGCAATTCTAAATTGGTAATATATGTGTACAGTAGCAACTGCGGGTCCCTGTACCTACACAATATGATTGGTCCATGTGTAATAGCCTCTGCAGCAAACTATGTGATTTAGCTGTGCAACATTATTTAGCATCTACCAAAGATCGAATATCGCCCTTCCAATTCATCTTCACATTAACTGCTTAGTTCTGGTGGTGATGCCAGGTTTACCAATACCAACAAAATGTAAAACTGTAGCAAATAAAACAAAACAAAAAGCAGAATATTTCCTTTAATAATGTCATCAGTCATTTTATTTAATAAGTAAAAAAGTGCTTATTGTGCTGGCCTAAACAGATAGGTAAAATGGTATTTGTCAAGATAAGGTCCCCTCTACAGTTGTGTTGCGGCCCTGTTGATACGAATATGCAACAGCAGAAATTTTAGGTTGTAGGTTAGGTTAGGCTGGCAGTTTGTACGTTTTAGGTTATATGTTGGTAGGTTTTTAGGTTGTAGTTATCAGGTTGTAGGTTTGTACATTGTTAGGTTGTTAGGTTGTAGGTAAGTAGGTAAGGTTAGGTCAGGTTTGATTGTTTTCTTTGCGAGACATTTATACATCATTTATGGATTTAGGATGTCAAAAAATGAAAGAATATGAAAAAACATCCTTGAAATCTTCTGAGGACTTTATCTTGACATTTACTGGTAAATGTTGCATGTCATTATCTACATACTACATAGGTACGTACCTACCTGGCCGTACTATTTTCTGGACAATTTGCCAGCTGGCGCCTTATGGTGGGGTGGCACTAGGACTTCAACTTAGCAGAGCTTGTCATATTTCAATGCAAGATACCTACAAACAACTAAATATCCCAATCCATCTTTTAATTTTTCTGTGAATTGGAATGCCATTTTACATCTATATTGATATATCCATCTCTTACCATGTTTATATCAATAAATAACATAGCTATCATACATCACCAGCTGGCCGGCCAGCTGATTTTGTTCAGTTGTTAGCAGGGCTGCGGAGTCAATGGATTTTCGGCGACTCCGACTCCATTTCCGGCTTTCAAAAACCAGCTCCGACTCTGACTCCGGGCAGAATTGTCGACTCCGACCGACTCCAACTCCCGACTCCGCAGACCTAGCAGGGCTGCGGAGTCAACAGATTTTCGGTGACGCCGACTCCGACTCCGGCTCGGGTTTCTTAAATCGACTCCGACTCCGGTCACAACTGTCGACTCCGACCGACTCCGACTCCGACTCCGCAGCCCTGGTTGTTAGTAAGGTCCTACTCCCACCCAATCCCTACCTACCTACCTACCTAATCTGCTTAGCGGTTGCTTCCACCCATCAGGTGTGCCTGCACCATCAGGTTGTTGCCCTCCCTGATGAATGACTGATGACCCTCTGTTATCCCCTATCTCAATTTGATATTGCTGATGCACTAGTGAGAATGATAAAAATGGTAAAAATAGTTAACATGAGTGCATTTTGAGGTAACAAGTAAAACAGTGTACCTAACACTATCGAGTAGGTATTGGAAAGGCGTAGAAAAAGAAAAGAGTCAAAAACCATGCAAAAAGTTAGTAGCTAATTAGCATATTGATGTGTAGGTACTTACTCGATTGACAATTATCAATTAGGAATAAAATTGATATCTTTCCAACCAAACCACACCAAACCACCAAACCAAACGTTTTCGAGAATGCTCATGCCGGCTCTCTCTATCGTCTGGAGGTTTCGAAAGATGCTCTCCAGAGATGGCGCTAGTAAATTTGGCTGACATGACGTCATGCTAAAAAGTGATGGGTTTTGTGAGAGCAAATGTAATAATAGTTGTAAATTTTGTACTTTTGCTTAATTAAGAATGATAAATATACAATTGTTCAAAACAGCGTTTTCCTCATTCATCCTTCATTGTTTTAAGAGGAATATAGACAGTTTAAATCTTTTTTCTTGACCGCAATTCGCACACGCACTAAATTAAAAGCTGGAGTTTTGTGCGTTCGTAAATTGTGATTTGAGAAAATAAGTTGACAATAATCTTTTGCACTTTTGCTTTACAATCATTTTCAATGCAAATTAATGCATTGTTTATTCGAAAATAGGCATATCTTTGAAATATTATGATTTTCCACAAGCAAATTTTCCCAAAAACTTGAACTACTTACAACTGACGAACGCATCCAATAATCTGGATGTCTTAGGATGAGTTCGTCATTTTTTTCCCAAGGAAAAACGATACAGTTCAAGCTACTTTACCGATTTATTAGGGTACTTTTGCCAATGAATTAATAAATAAATGACAACAATTAATCTCATTATCAACCATACTCGGAAGAATTTTCTTCGCATAAGCGCGAACACATCCGCGCTTTCATGAAAAGTCACGCCTGTAGATGTCAGGACTGCTGCTTTATGTTTCGCAAGGTGGCGCAGCGCGCAGGGTACCGACTACCGAGGCTGAGGTCTCCAGACTCTCCACCACGATTTAGCTTGGAAATGGCCGATGGGGAAGGTCTCACCCATAAGCGTAACTTTATATCTCTTTGTGGGTGCTCAAGCACCCCCAATCCTGAGCTCAGCACCCCCTGCCTTCTTAAAGCACCCCCAGCCTCCTCAAAACATTCCCAGCTGACTCAAGGCCCTCAATAATCGGAATGTCCATCTCCTAGTACTGTAATGAGCCCAGTGAATCATCCAAATACTATGCTTTCTCAATTCAGTGACTAAGAGAATATGCATTGAATAAATCACCACAAATTAAGATGCATATTTGTGTTAATACATCTGATATTATCAGGGGCCCGGGAACGATTTTTAAGTTGGGGGGGGGGGGGGAGCCTAAAATATCTGACATGATGCATATGAAACAGTGGCATAGCTAGGGGTCTAAGGGGACACGTACCCCCTCCCCCCATCGGGTTCAAAGGGACCCTCGGGTCCTAGAGGCCCTGCGGCGCCATTTGACCGCTGAGGGTTAACGATGGCCATATTTCTACTCAGAAGGGCCCCGTTGGGCTCGTTAGAGCACCACATGGGCCCTAAATAGCCACACTATGGTCTCCATAAGGGCCCCACGCTGACTTCTGAGGGCCTCTTGCGGCTTTTAAGGACACCTCGGTGGTCTCCAAAGGCCCGTTACTGGCCTCTGAGAGGTTTTACCGGCCTATGAGGGGACAGTTCTAGGGGCATTTCCCACCTGTGATGGTCCCACACTTACTTTTCTAAGGGCCCCATAACGGCAACTGTGGGGGCCCTCATCGGTGCCTATGAGGGCCCACACCGGTGTCTCTGAGGGTTTCACACCCCCAACTCCGAGTGCCTACACCAGTGGCTATTAAAGCCCTATATCGGCGGCTCTGAGGACCCACCCAACGCCTGCGCATCTAAAGGCCACCCACTGATGACTTGAGGGCCCCACAACACAACGGTGACCCTGAGGGCCCCACCGGTGTCTGACAGTACCATGCCGGTCTCTTAGGACCCCGCAGGACTTCTTCTGCCGGCCTAAGACCCCTTGCCGGTCACTGAGACCCCCTGCCGGCTTGTAGACAGTTCGCGTCAGCAGCTCTAAAGGCCCCACACCCGTCTGTAACGGCTCCACACCAGCGTCTATGAGGGCCCGGAGCAACGCCTGTAAGGACCCTCTTCGGCGCCTCTGAGAGAATCACACTAGCACCTCTGATCGCCCACACCGGCACCTGCATGCAGCGGCCCCACACCGGTGCCTCCCTTACCGGCGGCTCTGAGGGCCCTACGCCGGTGATTCTGAGGGTGCCACCGATAACTGAAGGCACCACACAAGCCCTTAGTGTAGCTGAGCTTTAATCCCATACCGGCCCTCCGAGGGCGCCACGTCAGTGCACTCATTGCCCCACACCCCTCCCTCACACCCGGAGCGGGTAAACTGTGTTATACCTATAGCAACGATTTTACCACCGTTGTACGTTATGTATTTCTCAAAGTTGACTCAAAATGGTCCAGTACAAAATCTGGCCTGCCAAACTTATGGCCAAGGTCAGGCCCAAACACGTTTTGGGCAATCAGGCTCAGTCCATGACTCCATTCTTCGGCAACTACGGTGCAAGGCCGATACTGTAGAAACTTGCAATTCGTACCCTTGACCTGACCTTGACCTTGACCTCAAACTTTAAATTAAGTACATGTTTTTAGTTATTCGTGATGAGATCTTTCGATTGGCGTTTGAATTTTCCAAATCGGACCATTAGTTCGGGAGATAACAGGGGGGGGGGGGGTAAAATTAACCCCCCCCCCCAGCCCCGCGCGTTCGGCTGGAGACCCCAGCCCCGTGCGGGTTAATGCATTGGGTGAGCCAAAATTGTTTTACAGTGGCGCTTTTAAAACAAGCTCTCGAACCGATTTAACATCATTTCTTGCATGATGCCTGATGACTACAGTAAAAAAGAACATCTAAAAAAAAACTACAAAAACTATGGCATGCCTTTCTGAAAGCTATTAAGCACCCCCAATGATTTTTGGAAAACTACACCCATGGTCTCACCCAAAAAACGGACGCCCTTTTACACAGCTGCATAAAGAGAATGAATTATTGGCATAGCTAACCACACGTCCCCTCCCCCTCTCCGCCCCAGCTCAATTGGAAATATCGCCTATTTTCCTTAGTCAGTTATATTCTGACTAATTTCTCACTCTTCCCAGTAAACCTTAACATGCATGATGCAGATGTCCACTGCGTAAGTCGTGTGCTTCCGTAAGTGCGCCAACTATATAGTGTTGCCTACACTCTACAGTGCCTACTGCTTCCCCATTGTCGTTATAATTGGTGATTCTCAGGTCAAAAGTTACACAGTGGTCTCAGAGAACAATCGTTTCAACAAATTAACGATTCAAACCGTTGCATTCTACTTATATTCCGGTCAGTTCTGCTACTAAACGATTCCGGCAAAACACTCTTTAGGTTATGTATTAGCGAACCACCACACAAAATTCGCCCAATCAATGGTCAGTTATTACTGCTGGGCTGAACCGTCATACGCTATATAGCCTATTGCAGTCAATATTTTCAGAACGATACTGACTGACGAAACACAACGTATTCGCGGATTCGCACATACGTTGGCACCCAGGTGGCCTGTCAGCAGCCGCACAAATTGAGATGGTACACCGTAAAGCATGCCTTTCCACACAGGCACAAGCACAGGGACACAAATTCTCAAAATCCAAACTTATTCCAATACTGGTCAAATACGAATAGGCATAAAGTTTTGAGGTTTTCTCATGTTCATTCTTCTTTCAACACACGCGGCAGACTGCAGCAGAACATCTCACAGAGCTGCGCTGGATGCAGTCATGAGCTGGGACACGGTTTGTGACCAATGACCGATCGGGGGTGCCAGCCTCCTCCCGGCACGCGATGCACTGGCCGCCGCGCAGTCGATGTCGGGGCACCGCCGGCATTCGCCGACAGGGTTCCATCCGATTCGGTGTATTGGTGGCAGCCCGAACAGTGACCCACGCGAAGCTGGTGGACGTCGATGGCCGATGAGCGATGCCCTTCCGCGACCGGCGGTGGCAGTCGGTCCCACATCAAGAACAGATACCAGTCATGCGGTCAGTCGGCGACGGCGCTGTCGCGAGCCGATCTGATAGTCGCGCGGTGGGCGTTGCCGACGTCCACCGGGACCGTCGACTGGGGGAGCGCGGCCGCCTCTTGGCCGCCGCCTCTGGTCGGCGCGCTCGTTGCGCTGTGGGACGGCATCCACTGCAAGTCGTTCACTGTGAAGCGGTCGTTTGACCGGGCCTGGCAGGTAGGGAAAGGGGGCCTCAGATGAAGTAAAACCATCCCTCAGGCCAGCTGCCTCTCCACCTCATCATGGCAGATAAGCGGACACCCTCGTGATCATCGCAGCGATGATTGCCAATTGGTGTGTCATTATGGGAGAGGATGCCAGCCTCCTTTGCAAGATAGTCTGCCTTTAATATAGTGCAGCCCGACCCATTGCCTGTGGTGCAGACTGGGCTTGATAATGCAGTGCAGGACACACCAAACGTAAGCGGCCATCTGTACCCCCTGTGCAGTAGGGCTGACTCAAGAGCCCAGAGTTGCCCTCCCCCCACCATTCTGTGCACGTGATAACTGGATGGGACATGCCATGGTCAGCATCTGTTCAAAAGCTGCCCTAAGCATGTAAAGCTCCACTGGCATGCTCAAGCATGGTCACAGTCAGTTCTCACTTCTCAGTTGAACCTCCAATGGAAACCCATCACAAAGTAGAGATCAGGGCGCCTCTCACACTGCAGCACACTCAACGACTGAGGCACCATCTCATCACTTGCAGGTGGTTCTTGCCAGGAGCAATGCCAGCCACGCACATCTGGGCCCAGTTTCACCAAGCTCTGTTTGGGGTAGTTTCGGCGAAACTACCCCAAACCAGTTTCACCAAATGGGGTAGGTTCTGATTGGCCACTTCCAAACTACCCCATGGGGCAGTTCTTATTTTACCCCAAATTTGCCATGCAAACAGATGCTCACGGTCCGTGAGCAACTGAACAAGCCAATCAATCAGCTGATTATCGTCGGTTCTACCCCAAATATCCGACCAAAATTACGGCTGACATTCGTGGGGTAATCTGTGATGAGCGATACGTTTCGTGATGAATCGTGTGGTGCGACCAAGAATAAATGGCGACGAAGACCTTTCACCCACTAAGTTCAGGTAAGTATTTCAGTATATTGCCGCATACTGCAAATTTTCACTAATTTTCTTGCATGAATGTACCTACGCCACGCCACCTATGTACGAAGCTTGCGCCACCTACGATAGGCCAGGTACCAACCACTTTATGTAGATGTCGCTCTTAATTGAAAGTAAAATGCCTTTTCACCTACTGAAGGTTTTCCTTTAAAGTGACCTTGGCTACTAGATGATGATTATTAAAACCTTGAAATGTAAATAAGACAGACGTCAGACTCAAGCTCATTCTAGTGGCCAGTGCCGTGGCTGTTTCGTTTGGTCGCCATTTGATCTATTCGAATCCGAAGTTACGGAGCCTCAGCTTGCATTAATATGCCCGGTGCAGTTTAAACACTTCGAATGAACTATGTTTGATTCAATATATCATCCGAGCAAGTGGTATCAAGCAGTCAATATGCTCAAATGCTCGAACTTTGGATCATCGTGCTCATTATCCGGTGGCATCGGGCATGGCGCATACTAAATGCTTATGGTTTTTTCGTACAAATTCCTGAAATGCTTTTAGACATGGGTGGCTGACGCAGGGTGTCTTTCATGTTTAATACTGATCTTACCACCATGTCGTAGGTTTTATATTATTTAGTTTAGAATGTATCAGTATGTCACTGAAATGTTAGTGAAGTATTTAGTTTAGAATGTATCAGTATGTCACTGAAATGTTAGTGAAGAATACAATTATAAATCAAATGCTTTTGATGCATTTTATGGTGCTATAGTTAAGTTATGTACCTTAACAAACTGTTCAAATTGGAATGCCGGGAGTTGTTGCATATATAATACAGTCTGATTTGGTTGAAGTTGTTCTGTTGCAATATGAGGAAAGTTGGGGGATTATCACAGAATGAGTGTCTAAATCTTACACACATGAAATGATCTCCCATGACTTCCTAAAGCTAAGTATTCTTCAGTGATGTTCTTGTGCATGTTTGACTGCGGTGAATGTGTAGATGAAGTCCAAATGGTCCGAGGAAGATAAAAAACAATCTAACTTGACCTGCCTACCAAACTACAGCCTACCAGCCTATAACATACATTGACATGCCTACAGCCTACCAACCTACCAGCCTAGGCCTACCATTTGGATTTCATTTACACATGAACTGTCACTGATACCTTTGTAAATTGTATGTGATTGCATAGGCGGCGGAATGGGGGCGGGGGCACCGTGCCCCCTTTGATTTTGGCATTTTAACATAAGCCCTATGGGCGTTGCATTGTAAGAATGGCACCAAAAGTTAGCAGTCCCCCCCCTCCTAATTAAATGTGTTCTGCCGCCACTATGTGATTGCATGCTTTTTTTGTTGTTTGCTACTACACATCATAATTCATAAGTGTAATGATTGTCTGAGGTGAAGATAGTAAAAGGTGGCAGGACCCTGCCAACAGTGGTTAATAGGTCCTGAAATTATTGATAGTTCATATTTGAACTGTACTGATAACAGATATCATGATCTTGCAGAAATGTAAGCTTGTACCTAATCTGAATTTCTGGAAAGAAGTTATTTAAAGTGTCCTCTTGGAGCGAATGCCTGTAGCTGCCATAGATTATTGACGGCATTTCAGGTTGCTATTACAATAAGGAGCCCTGATAGCAACAATGGAGCTGTTCAAAATCTGTCATCAATTTCAGGGAGAGATTTCGTCTGGAGCGAGCTGTAGTGGAGAAAATCCTCCACTTCATCGGTGACGACCTGGCGCACGACACCGATAGAAATCACGCCCTCACTCCCAAACAACAACTACTCCTGACACTACGGTGGGTGCAATAGCATTGTCCTGCTTTTTAACACTTAAGGTGATAGTGGCTGCCAGATGGCAAGTGATGGAATGTGTGCTAGTGACAACTTTTGTTAAGACAACAGTAAACACAGAATTTGTGCCAACATGCATCTGAGGGTATATTGTGCTTTCTCAACAAGTTCAGCCATGGCCTTGATTATGCAGTTGCAAAATAAATCTCAGGACATGAGACTAAGGACATTATGTAACTTATGTAGGAAATGGTCTTGTGAGCAAGGTAATTTTTCATTAGGTACTGATCCTATTGGAACCCATCCGTCTTTTTCAGCTTCCTGGCAACAGGAAGTTTCTACCACGTAGTGGGTGATGCGCACGGCCCAAGCAAAGCCACGGTGTACCGCGCAGTGCACAGGGCCGTGGAAGCGATTGTGAATCGGTTGATGGGACTTATAGCTTTCCCCAACACTCATGAGGCGACCCGTGCCCTCCAGGCACAGTTCCATGGGAAAGCAGGGCTGCCAAATGTCATTGGTAAGTCCGCAGTGTTAACAGGAGCACAGCGTTTTAAAAGGAAGGTGCCATGTCCCAGTGCTGGATTCAGATAAATGAGATTTAGTGTTAAGTTTTTGTCAAAGAACATGCTGTGCATGCTTTCATTGTAAAGATGTTGAAGCCAACAAAAACTAACATAAAACCATTGCATATTTCAACAAAGCCAGCAAGGAAAGAAGCTCCATGGTTTTATGTAGCTGATTGTCCTAACATACAGTATTGTAATGGATTGAGAAAACTAATAGATAAATAATAGATAATTGAGATAACTGTATGTGCATGTGTGGTGTGTGATCTACAGGCTGCATCGATGGCTGCCACATCGACCTGCGGGTCCCCACTGACGTGGAGAACGCCTACATCAACCGGCACCAGAGGACGTCACTAAATGTCATGGCCGTGGCTGGCGCAGATGGCCGCTTCCTGTGCGTGAGCGCCCATGCTGGAGGTCGCCAACACGACTCAAGGGTGCTGGCGACCTCTGGACTTGTTGAAAAGTAAGCCAATATGAACTAAGTGTATTATTGAAACACGTCAGCTTCACTACTATATTAGAGTCATGCAAGTTAGGATAATGATGTAAATAATAAACCAAATAGTACAAATCAAATATATTCAAAAACAAACAGTTAATTTGGTTTCAACAGGCGTGCACAGGCGTGCACATTTTTCACGAGGCGTGCACTGCTTAACCTTCGCTTTGGGTTAGGTATTTTGGCCACCCTCGGCAGTTTTGTGCGTGTATAGCGAAATCCGCGGATCCCATAGGGACGTGAACTGGCCTCTAGTGACCATATCACCGAGCTAAAAGAGTAGATAGATAAGCTTGCAAGTAAAGTTTGTGACAATCGCCTTCAATTACTTATATTTCAGGTTGGAGACCGACTCTCTGGTGCCGGTTGGTGGAGGCGTTCTGCTCGGGGACAGTGCCTATCCGAGTCGGCGTTACTTGCTGACTCCCATCAACCATCCCGGGACTGCAGCGGAGGAGAGGCAAGTGTTTGCTATGCTGGCACGATTCCACGTTTCATATCATGTACCATGTCGCCAATTAATGTTGATATTGAGGTATTATTAATATCGATTTAACGTAAATGAACCTCGATATAAACACTGTTCGTTGTTACCGTATGCGTAGAAATGTAGATAGCACTAGTGTTTCCGCCATTATACAGTCATTGCGCGAGACAACCAAGAGTCGTTGGAGAAAAAACATGCACCACAAAGAGTGTTGTCTGCATAAAATCTGAATAACTGTCCCCCCCCCCCACGCACACCCGCCAGGCGCCCCTTGACCCACTAACAATTACCGTATTGTCGAGCACCGGAAGCATGACCACATTCTAGCTTATCAATGAAATGTGATGCGTCACGCCTCTGCTACTTGCTCGTTGGGATGTATTTATAAAATGCTTCATTTCTGTTGCAGGTACAACAAGGCCCACTGCAGGACTCGAGTTTGCGTCGAGCAGGCCTTCGGCCAGTTGAAGATGCGGTGGTGGTGCCTGAAACATGGCCTCCGGTTCCACAGGGTCGCCGACTCAGTTCGCACCGTGATGTAAGCTATATCATCGAGGATAGTATTATAAATAACTGAGAAGACACTAGTTCGTCGTAGGTCATTGCGAAGACATTAAGTCTCTCCCGGCTCTGTTGCTCATTGCTCAATCTGGTATAAGTTGTTTGGCGAAAACGTCGATTAACCGCTTGTGACCCCAGTGACGCCACGGGTCACATTGTCAGAGGTTCACTCCACCTTTCCATATCTGTTACGCTGAATCTATGCCCGCCTGCCACCAGATTAGTAACTAGTGTATTAATCTGAGGGGCCCGATCTGCGTCGTTGACTTTCACCATGGCTCAGTCCGGCATCTGCCCTCTCGCACGGAAAGATTCGTTCATCGATGCCAATATATTGTCTTGCCAATCACTGTCGAACTTATCACCGAAACAATCTCTTACACCAGCACAACCTCGGACCAATCATCGTCCCATCCCTCGCACACGCAAGTCTCGTCGCGTCACAACATTAACCCGCGCCCCGCGGGGGGGGGGCAGAATCTGCCCCCTCCCGTTGTTCGCCAATAACGTCTAAACGCGTTAAGCCAGCGACGTCAGACTTTCAGTACCTTAGCATACATCAATTTAAGACGTTTCCTGAAAATTTGAGCGAAATCCTTTGGAAAACTTTTGAGAAAATGACGTTTTAGTGATGTCATGTTCGCCATTTTCGCCTAAAAAACCCTAATGCATGGGAGCAACATCAAATCACATGTTTGAACGTTTGAAACCACGAAAAGCTTGCAAACGCGCGGCTAATGCGAGCAGAAATACGCCGAATCGCGATTCCGGCCAAACATGGTCTCGGAAAAGAGGTCACAGGTCCAGGCGCGGATACAAGGGGGGGGCCATGGGGGCCATGGCCCCCCCCCTTGGCCGATTTTTTTCAAAAATAAAATAAAAAGTTAAAAAGCTGAAAAGGGGGCCTCCTGAAAATAAAGTGGCCGAAATCCGATGAGTTTTTTTTTAACCTACCCACTTAGTTATTTCTTAGAAGACTAGCTGAGAAGACTTCTTTGTTAGAAGATTGGTAAAGCTTTTCATAACTTGGAGGTCTCTTATACTCACAGAGATGACCACTTTTACAGGGCCTCCTAACCTGCACAGAGGGCCTCCAAGCCTGCACAGATGTCCTAACAAACACAAAATCTCTTAGCCTACACAGAGGCCTCCACTCGCATCCGAACAAAGGGCCTCCTAGCCAACACAGAGGGCCTCCTAACTCACACAGAAGGTCTCCTATCCTGCACAGAGGGACTCCAAGCCTGCACAGATATCCTATTCGCCAACACAGGACCTCTTAATCTCCACAGAGGGCCTCCACTCGCATCCACACAAAGGGTCTCCAAGTCTGTACTGAGGGCCTGCGCTCGCATCTGCACAGAGGGCCTCCTAGCTATCACAGAGGGCTTCCTAGTTCACATACAAGGCCTCCTAGCAGGGGCGGATCCAGGGGGGGCGATAGGGACTATAGCGCCCCCCCCCCCGGGCGACTTTCTCATTTTCTTTTTTTTTTTGCAAAAAAAAGCATGATAGGGGGCCCCCAAAAATAAAGTGGACGAAATCCAGGCTTAAACTTTTGGGGGTAGGTAGGGCCCCCATCGATGGGGGGCCCCCGATTCGGAATAGCCCCTCCCTTGGCAAAATGCTGGATCCGCCCCTGCACAGGTCGAAGGTCATTTGGGTCAGGCTCATGAAATTTTCAGGGTACCTAGGTGTAAAATTGATCAATGCGAGGGTACTGAAAGTTTGGTCGCGATCGGCTGCTTTTTACGCGAGTTATTCGCGAAAACCCTTAGGGAGGGGGGTTGCATCAACCCCCCCCCTTGTGCTGGCGAGGGTTGAGATCCGCCTTGTTGAGAGCTTTCGATTGCGCTTTCCCCGTCTTTCTACGACCATCGGTTCGGAAGTTAGACAGGAGGGGCAGAATCTGCCCCCCCCCCCGCAGGGCGCGTGTGGCTGAATAGCCCAGCGGGGCGCGGGTTAATGTATTAATGTTACACCATTCGTTTCAAGGGCCTGCTGCATCCTGCACAACATCGCAAAACTGGAGGGCGATGAAGGCGACTGGATGCAGGACGTGGCCGCTGCCCAGGACCTCGGAGAACCGGACGCACCCGAGCTGCCGCCACCAGAGCCAGTGGCGGCGGTGCGGAGGCTGGCCTTCGCCCGGAGAGCCGAGTTCGTCAGGCTCTTCCAGTAGCCGCCGCCTGGCCTGTGGCTGGCGGACTGCGCAGTATGATGCGAAAATGTATATAGAGTGCAAAAATACTTTTGTGTTCAGTATACGAATAGTGCATAGTGTATACGAATAGTGAATAGTGTACAGTATAGTGCAAAAATGGTGTGCGGTACTACTGTAACCGAATAAAACTTCGTAACATTTGAAAAAAATGACTGTGTTTCCTAAGAAACTTTTATCCTACAAGTCCGTAGATGGAACAGGCATCCCCCTGTAAAGCAGCAACATGCTACGCCAAGCAGCATATCCACTATTATCACAAAACCATAAAATCTGCCCGTCTTCGAGCATCCTGAGTGAGTGAGATTTTCTGGTTTTGTGATCAAGTAGAAATGCTGCTTGGAGCATGTGACATATAACTGCATGTATGGCCTAAACTTTTGAATTCATTTTAAAAGGGATAAAAACGCAACAAATTACCCAACGTTCCGCATTTATTGCTTGGTGATGCGAAACGTTGAGTAATTTGTTGTGTTTTTATCTCTTTTAAAATGAATTCAAAAGTATAGGCCATACATGCAGTTATATGTCACATGCTCCAAGCAGCATTTCTACTTGATCACAAAACCAGAAAATCTCACTCACTCAGGATGCTCGAAGACGGGCAGATTTTATGGTTTTGTGATAATAGTGGATATGCTGCTTGGCGTAGCATGTTGCTGCTTTACAGCGGGATGCCTGTTCCATCTACGGACTTGTAGGATAAAAGTTTCTTAGGAAACACAGTCATTTTTTTCAAATGTCACGAAGTTTTATTCGGTTACAGTAGTACCGCACACCATTTTTGCACTATACTGCACCTTCGCATACTGTACACAACATAATAAGGTGTACACGAAGAAGGCTATTTTTCTGTTGCTTAAACTGGCCTCTTGTGGTTTCGGCGAGATGCCTGCAGCTGCACACATTAGGTCCGTACACCGATTTGCCTGCGTGTTATGTGTGTCTTGTGCGCAAACCTGTTATGGTGCAACAGGAAATAATAGTTCTCAACCTCGTTCATAGGTGGCGGTAGGGTTGGGTGGATCGTTTCGGACTGATGCCCGATGTACCTCAACCAGAGCTTTAAATATTGTTTTTGTTGTAGTTATCTACGATATTGTTGTACTTATTTATAATACTTCGGGTGGTGTTCAGTTTCAGCACATCATCGATTCTATGCGTCTCAGCAAGAACCGTTCTGTTGTCGAAAGAAAGTGTCAAATAGAAATCGCTTGTTTACCAGAAAACATCATATTCATTTTAAGCCAACAACATTTGCAGTGGCCAGCACAAAAAAAAACAGCTTCAGCGAGTTAATAGAACAGCGAAAGAGTTACGCGTGGGCGTGAGCGAGCGTCGCAGACAGCGTAATCAGAGCAGCGACATGTTCTTGTAGGTGATCGCCCTGTAATGTTCGGCCACCTCGGTGAGCTCCTCTGTCAGGAGGCAGTCGAGCGGTGCAGCTAGTAAAAGTCTGCGACGCTCGCTCACTTCCCTGCGTTCAGCTACGAACGACTCAAGGGTCCGTGTCGTGACGGTGCGGTCGGACAGGGTGTCGCGAAGACTGCGGGCGGCCCTCGCTGCGGCGGTGGGCTGGGAGGCGGTAGGCTGGGAGGAATGCGGGGCCGTAGGCTGGGAAGCGATGGAGGCGGTGGGCTGGGAGGTGAGGGAGGCGGTAGGCTGGGAGGGATGCGGGGCCGTAGGTTGGGAGGCGTAAGGCTGGGAAGGGAGGGAGGCGGTAGGCTGGGAGGCGGTGGGCTGCGATGGGAGAGAGGTGGTGGACTGAGATGGCTGAGAGAGTAGGGATGTGGAAGGCTCATCAAGTAGTGAGGTGATCGACATAGGTGACACACAGGAAGGATGAAACGGAGAAGCCCCGGCCACGCTGTCCGACCCGGTGCCCAGCCAGGTCGCTTCCGACACCGCCGCTTCGCTGCCGCGGGCATCACCTCCAGCACTCTCTTCCTGCGGCCGGGGAGCGATGCTGCTCAGCGCGCCAGGGACGACGAAGTCGTAAGCTGAAAAAGTGCAAGCATGAGAGAGAAAGTTGCCCTTATGCTTACTTCCCTGTCCTTCCAGATGCGTTGGCCATTGCCACGAAACCTAATTTCGTATTTCATAATGTGCAGCCATGGGCTCCGCCACTGGGGGGACGGGGGGAAAAGTCTCCCAATATTTTACATTTTTAACATTAGGCCTATGGGTGCTGCATGGCAAGAATCGACTTCGAACGGCCTTCGTCCTCTCCCCCCCCCCTCACAACCATCGGGTCGTGACGGAGCTCTGTATAGCCACCATAATTCAACTTTGATGCCATTAGACTGGCATATGGTTGTTCTATATACCCTGGGCATATGTGCACGACGCGCCGATGGGAAGCCTTCGGAGTTTTTCATGTTATCATCGACTCCTTTTGCAAATAAGGGCAGCAACAAAGTACTTACTCCCATCGTCGAGGCTTAAAGCAACCTCGTCCAGGTCGGTCAAACCGCCCGACTCGCCACCAGTACCAGTCGACCTCAATTTGTTTCGCTTGGCTGTAAAAAGGACACAGGATATTGCATCGTTTATTGCAAAATCAAGGAAAACCGAGGTTGTGAGTTCCTCATCTAAGTGGAGACGCCCTTATGCAGAGATGCAAGAAATTTCCAAAAGCCAAAGCCGGCTCCGTCCTGAAACGGCAACTATTTTGGACAACGAATATTCCTGACTCACAGGATGTTTATCGAGCACGGCATCCGACTCAGCAAGCAATGCTGTTGCACACAATTCGTCACGAAAGGCATCAGCACAAGTCCAAGCACGTTTATAATTGCAATGCCAGCATGCATTTAAACACAACTTGAACTAAATTTACAACAGTTACCTCTGCTCCGTCCAATTTGGTTTTTTAGGAGAGAGTTCCGCATTTTTCTAACATCAGCGCCATGCGGGATTAGGCCCAGCAAAGCGGCCAGGTCGCGGGCCTCCTTCCATTTCGTGGCGCGAGCGGCCCCCGCTCCCGGTCCGCGCAGCTTACCGTAGAGAATCTGTACGCAGTTACAACGCAATCAAGCGGATCGCCCGCTATGCTCATATACATGTCGTTATGAATGCTGTTGCACGTAATGCCAGATGTAATGCCTACACATGAATAAATAAGACAATTAAATAGGGGACAGTGGGGTATAGCGGACCACTGGGGCAAAGCGAACCACCCACCCTGTTGTACGCATTAGAAGCGCCGTCCATTCTTTTAGATAGCCATTAGAAGTGTTTCCCATCCACGCACTTCCCGGATCAGCGGCAGCCTGATCCGGGCGAGTTCCTTCGCTATTGAGCATAAATGTTTTTCTAATTTTCCTGCTAATTTGAGTGTTATAAAAATGTCATCATAATTACCATATAGGTATATGCCATTATCTTCATGAATGTCTGTGCTCTGGACATGCATTTGTATGGCTGTAATTGGGTTGTAATTGCTGTAAGCAATCATGATTTATCGCATGTTCTATAATCTAAGCAATGTGTGGTCAAGCAAAAATTTGAAAAAGGATTTAGTTGACCATATGTTAATTACTGTAATGCTGGAAGTGCCTATTTAACTGTCAATATTTTATATTTGCTGGAAAATATTGACAGTGAGTCAATATTTTTCAGCATGAAAATATTGACTCACTGTCAATATTTTCACTTAATAGTTTACGAGCCTCAGAACAATGTAGATACAGTGATTTAGGAGGGCAACCATTATTCTGGTTAAATGGGGCAAAGTGGACCAACAGTGGACAGTGGTTCACTTTGCCCTACAATTTTTTAAAATCATGGTCAAATTTCACCACTTTATACCAGACAATGACAAGTCATCAAAGGAAAGTTAGAGCTAATACATGGACCTTTCTATTTGTCATTTACTTGGAGATCCCTATGGGCGCTATGGCCAATTACATGCAGGCTTGGGACATTTCTTAGCAACCCCGCTTTACCCCACTAGGGGATACAGTTTAAAGATAATGTAGTTACAGTTGCACTGGCCAGAGCTTTGTGAAAATTGCACAATTCCCCACTAACTGTCTAATCTAAATTTGCTTTATGCTTCGTTATTTGCATAGTCATGTGTTCAGTTATTTGGGTCCAGACTGGTTTTTGATTCACCTTTTTTGGATCAATTCAATCATTGCTTCATTTGATTTTTGTTTGATTCAATCACCGTTTGATTCCTTCAACAAATTTGGTGAATCGCTTCCTTTTGATTCAGAGAATCAAAAAACAATAAAAGGAATGATTCATGTTTGATTCAGCCAATTTTTTTTTGAAAGATTCTTTTTTGATTCAATTAAAAAATAAAATATACAAAATATCAGGGATAGTATTGTATTTGTTGTGTTCTTTTTGTTGTCGTGTAATGGCAGTATTGTTAATATTTGTTGATAATGAACTATATTCGTTCACTTAAATTTTTTCAATCCAATCGATTCAATCACAGATGAATCAAACACCAATCTAGGTTTGGGTCCCTCAGCTCAATTGAAAAAAATACAGAAAGCTTTTTTACAATATTGGTACCTACTTACCGACTTATTCTGAGCTAGGAACCGGAAAAGTTCCAGCTTGTTTTCCTCTCTTCGTTGGCGAGCTCCTCCACAGGCAGGCATTTCGGTCTGGCTGGAGACCCAATCAATTAAAATCAAGAAAGACCGTATAAAAAAGCTTCAAAATAACCACTACTAAGATAAAACTTAAGGTTATAATTAACAAGAACAATCCAAATATTTACATATTACACGAATAACGCCTCACCTTTGATGAGAAACCTGTGCACTGTATTGTCTAGGCCCACAAACAAAAGAAGAAAATAAACATTGTATTCTACGAAGCATACCCAATGCAACAGCGGAATCTCGACCAATCAAAACGTTCCGCTGTTTCGCTGATGCTGCTTGCTTAGCAAACATTCACAAGAGACGCCGAAACTACCCCATTGGGGTAGTTTGAGCTGGTGAAACTGGATTCTATCCCATGGGGTAGAATGGAAATCTACCCCATGCCGAAATTACCCCACTTGGTGAAACTGGGCCCAGGTGATAACAGCAGTGTACAACTGCAATCTACAAGCATCCATGTTCTTTCTGGTTTTCTCCTGTTGAGATCCACTGCCATGCATGAACTTGATGGGCTTTTGTTGCGCTCCTCCCATGTGCAGACAGGTTTCTGCTGAAACAAAGCAAAGCAAATGTGATTAATAATGGCCCTGTTTCACAATCTAGACACTGTGTGCACTGGTAGCTACGGCATACCATAGCATCACTCAAATGACGTTGCATGTGATCTCTTAGTTTATGATGAATCGCGTTTGGAACAGAGTGAGAGGTTCTGAAAAACCGTACCAAGAACAGAGGTTTGAGTTCAAATACTGCTAGCATGCTGCTGGTGCTGGTACCGCAGCGTGCTAGCGTTCTGGGATGCTGTCATAGCTTAGCGTCACAGTGAAGTTTGTTGACACTGCCATGGAAACCCAATGCTCTGACACACGCATGACGCAGCGCACTGCAGTGCTCTGCCGTGAAACACCACCCATGAACGTTGGTTGCATGACCAGGATCGGAGCAGTGTGGCAGACAGTGATTTTAATTTTAATTGCACTTCCTAGAGATTAAAATGTTGTTGGTGAAATTGCTATTCATTATTCCTATTACCATTGTCTAAATTTCACATTTCAAGACAGCATCAGCATTGACATGTTATATAAAATAAGGTTTAGACTTCAGGTGGTCCCGGGTTCAGCTATTAAGTAAAACAAGGGCAAAAAATTGTCAAGAAAAAATATTTTAAAAAAATACCTGCCTTCATCAACACCTCATCTAATCTAACCTCATCCTCATCTTACAAGGCCCTAAAAGCAAAAACCGTTTGAATAACAATGTAATATTTTGCAACCGCTGCACCATTACTGTCACGTACGCTATCCCTAGATTGGTTGCTGGTAAGTAGTGGTTGTCGTCATCAACTCGTCATGCAGCAGCTGATTGGGATGGGCGGGGCCTATTTTTATCCAGACGATAGAGAGAGCCCTCATGCCAAGGCGTTAGGCATGTTTTGACTGAGTTGCGTCACATTCAGCACGCTGCCATATTTACTGCACACTTTTCCCTTTGCTGTGGTAGGTCGTCTCCTTCGTTTTAGGCAGAAAAATTCACGGCCAAGATATACCTACCCCGCGTTCGATGTCTCTCGGACGACGAAAATTCTACGTCGTCCGGGTCCGGCCAATCCTGCACAAGGTCAGCGGGGGCTCGGCTGCGGTTATGGAACATTGGAACGTGATTGGCCGGACGACGTAGAATCTTCGTCGTCCGAGAGACATCGAAAGCGGGGGCCGGGGATAATGAGTAGGTAGATAGTAAATACAAAGTAATCTTGGATATAATAGCTGCGTTTACATAGGGATTGTTGCAAGCTTATCCCGCGCCCCGCTGGGCTATTCAGTATTCAGCCATACGCGCCCTGCTGGGGGGGGGGGGGGGGGCCGGGGGGCAGATTCTGCCCCCCTGTCTAACTTCCGAACCGATGGTCGTAGACAGACGGGGAAAACGGCAATCGAAAGCTCTCAACAAGGCGGATCTTAACCCGCGCGGGGCTGGGGGGGTAAATTTTACCCCCCCTTGCGAATTTTTGCGATATCTCAAAAACGGCGGCGCGCAGCGCCGCCAAACTTTCAGTACCTTTTCTTACATCAATTTGACACCTTCCCTGAAAATTTGAGCGAAATCCGTCGGAAAATTTTTGAGAAATTGACGTTTTAGTGACGTCATGTTCGCCATTTTCGCCTCAAAAACGGCAAAAGTTCAAACGCCGCTAACATCTTCATTTTTAAAGGAATCAAGACGTAACAAAAAGGTTATACGTAATTTTACTTTGTCTATCAAATGGCTATCTCGGTTTTTTGAAAATTTTGGATTTTGGCCTAATTTTTTTTCAAAAAACTGATTTTTTTGGGAAAATCATTGTAAAATCCAAAATTTTGAGTCTATCAAAAAAACCGGAATATATGTCAGAGAAGTGGTCTATGTGCACCTACATACCAAATTTTAGAAGAATCGGTTCAAAAATGTGGGAGTTATTCAAAATTTTATGACGTCACGACACACAAAATTTTTGAAAAATGACTTTTTTGGAAGTTCTAGACCTCGTACGGAAACAAAAATAGCACCATTCGATTCGCCGTGAAAAACTGCATCAGATCGACACCTTTTTAGGCCTTAACAACCAACTTCAAAATTTGACCTCATTTGACCTGACCTTGACCTGACCTCGACCTGAAATTCATCCAGAGGTGGTCCATATCACTTATTGAGTGTGCCTATTGAATTCTATGAGTAAAATGACCCATAAAACATGTGTCGCACATGCCCTTTTCTATATTTTGTTTTTGGTGACCTGACCTGACCTGACCTGACCTTGAACTTGACCTTTGAATGACATTGTATGCAACGAATATTGTCTTGGTAGTCTTAGAACACGTTTTGGGCAATCAGTCTCAGTCCATTCTTCGGCAACTACGCGGTGCAAGGCCGATATACTGTAGAAACTTGCATTTTGTACCCTTGACCTGACCTTGACCTTGACCTCAAACTTTAAATTAAGTACATGTTTCTAGTAGTTCGTGATGAGAGCTTTCGATTGGCGTTTGAATTTTCCAAATCGGACCATTAGTTCGGGAGATAACAGGGGGGGTAAAATTTACCCCCCCCCAGCCCCGCGCGTTCGGCTGGAGACCCCAGCCCCGCGCGGGTTAACCCGCGAGTTGCTGGGGGGGGCGTTAAACGCCCCCACTTTTTTCGCCGGGCCACAACATAAAAACGGCGCGCCGCAGGCGCGCCAAATTTTGGGTACCTGTAGGGAATTGATTGAAGTTTATTGTGACAAAGTTTCAAAAAAATCGGTCGGAAAATTTTTGAGATATCGAGGTTTTAGTGACGTCATGATTTCTGAGTTTTCGACCAAAAACGGCATATGTTCAAAAAATCATATAAAATCACAAAATGGACATACAGACATGCCGTAAACGCCATTAGACTGCCAATACCATGATCAATCAAATGGCTATCTTCGATTATTGATTATCGTTCCGCATTTTCCAAAATCTTGAACTGAATCTTGGCAATTTTTCGTGACTATTTCACGACCATGGTACAGGGACCCGCAGTTGCTTCTGTACACACTAGTATTTCAGCGTATTCTTTGCCTGTGACACCGTTGGAGGCGAATTGGGAAATGATTGTGTGCTTATCAAAACCACCATCTGAAGGGCTTTAAACTGATGTGCTGCTCTCCTAATTCAGTGAACTTTTTATGGCTATATCAGCAAAACATTGTTTTCAGGGCTTTTTCCTGCCCCATTCCTTCTGAAACCTGGAACCGCTTATTCCATTTACTCCTGCCATCTGACGATGGTCGTGCTGACTACTAGTTCCGGCGCTAGTTACTGCTCCAGTTTTGCACCCGGCACAAACTCAGGCGGCACCGGGCCGTGGCTCGACCACGGAGGGTCGGACCGAGCCGACTGCCTGGGGCGCGGTTAGATCGGACGCCCTGCTGGGGAAGGGGACGGGAGTGAGGGGGAGGGGAGGAGGTGGTCACGTGGTCCGTCCAAGCTCGCAGACGACCTGTCCTGCGCCCAGCCATGTTCCGTGATCCAAAATGGCACGAGAGCTGTAGAATGCCTGGAGGAGACGCTTCGAAAGCGAACTTCAGCAGCACTAATTTACCATATTCTGTGGAAATAAATGCCGGGCCCACGATAAATGCCGGGCAGAGCACGCGCCGGGCCGGGGGAGGGTCTGAACACCCCCCCCCCTTCTAACTCGGCTCCTGGGCCACGTAGCGACACGCGGTAAGCAACAATCGAAAGAACGTCCAAAATAAGGACGAAAACACTTCCGTCATTTTTTGGGTCAGGTCAAAGGTCAGGTCACCAGAGGTCACCAAAGGTAAAATGTTGACTATTTCAACATTTTGGAAACTGCCCACGGCTATCTCGGGAACCGATAGAGCTACAGCGCCGCGGAAAACGCATTCGATAGCCCTTTTACAGACCTTTCTGAGTAATGTTCTCAGATTTGACCTCAAGTCAACGGTTTAGCCTCCAGAGGGCAAAAACTCCAAAAATAGCCGTTTTTACGAAAAGCGTTTTTTTTCGGCAATAACTTTTGACTCAAAAGAGCCATGACATTACTTTTGCCAGCATCGTGTTCCTCTCGTCGAGACGCGTCGAATGAACTATAATTTGACCTTGAAAGGTCAACTGGAAAATTTAACCTCAAGTCAAGGTCATGACCTGACCGGAAAAGGTCATGTTGCATATCAGTCGATCCGCAACGTCGAGCCGAACACATCCAAGGCGTTTTCAGCGCTCTAGCACGTCTCTATCAGAAGTTATTAGCGAAAACTGCTAGATTCTGTTCGTGACCTGAGATGACCTCGGGGACATAACGAGGGGTTACAGTTGCCATTATCCGGTTCAGTGTGTCAATTCTACCTACATCTCGATGTTTGAGAGTGTCTAGAATAGCGTTCGTGCAAAACAGACGCTTTTCAATTTTCTCCCATTGACTTATAATGGAGATACCGCAAAATTGACCTGACCTTAGGTCACCGATATCAAAATTCCGAGATATACATTTTATAGATAATGATGCTCTAACCAACCACTGATAGTTTCAAGGCAATCGATCAATCGGTGTAGCTATGGTGAGCATTCGTATTTTTTCTGAGGTGAGGTCACTCGGCGTGACCTGGTGACCTGACCTAAGGCCACCTGGGTCTGAAATTTTCACAACATGTGCGGAAAAGATGCACGAACAGGTGTGCCAAAAACGCAGGTTTTTTGTTATTTTGTTTTGGAGATATCTGCGAAAAACCGCAGGGGGGGGGGTGACATTTGTGTATTTTATCGGCAACCCGGCTGGCCAGACCGAGGCGGTGCCGCATTTAGTTCTCATCTATGTTAAACCTATACACTTATTTTTCTCCACTGACGAAGCACGTTGTTGTCCGAAACATTTGGTTTTATTCGCAT